TGATTTACCACTTGAGCTAGCCAGCCGCAGTATATGAAAAAATAAAGCTAAAATATGTTTAATAACCAATGAAGGATGTCATGGTTCAGGACCATTGGACTTTCATGGTGCCTCCTTTGCTCAATCATGCTGCTTTACATAGTTATGAATACATAAAATCAGGCTGAATCTGACCCAATATGCCATCCAGCTTCACCCAACTATAAAACCTCTGGATGCTTCAGATTTTGGAAGAGTGTTAGGTCTTCAATCAGCCAAAGGAAACAGGTCGCCTCTCTGATGGCTGAGCCCACAAAGAGCCTAAAAGAAGAGCTCGCATCCACATAAGGGCTCCAGCAAACCTTTTTGCAGGTTTCATGCTGCCATTTGGATGACTTGCCGAGCACCTCTAGAGCGGCCGACGCTGGAGCTGGAAAATCTGAACTTTTGCAGATGCATTGCATGCAGATGCATGCTCCCAGGAAGCTACATGAAAGTCATGATTGCTTCTGCAAAGCTGTCAGCATATTTAAAATTAATACAAATATAAAGGGGATAAACTCCACTGGTTTTAAAAAGCCAGCAGAATTCTGATCACTTCATGGGGAAACTTTCACTCATCCAGGTCATGGAAACCACAAAACAGGCTTAAATTGGAAAGTAACCGGTCCTTTCCTAAGTTCATTTCTTTAGACATTTTCACACCTATCCAGGTGTCTTAACAGAATTGACAAAGACTCCAGGGGGTAACAAAACATCTCCAAAGTGGTAATTTTAAATAAAAAAGTTTTTCAACATTTTGCTACTACTGAACAGCTGAAGCATCGAACTAGATTCTGATATCTTGGGCAGTTTAACCATCAGGACGGCTAATGAAGAATAAAGACAAGTTTTGATAAAAAAAAAAAAAAAGGTTCATCAACATTTCTGCTCATCTAATTTTCTTAGACTTGTAATTTTGTATACAGAGAGTGTATACAAAATGAAATTAGGTTAATACAGCTTTTAGAAAGTGAATATGAGCAGCAGCTTAGCAGGGGAAAGGAACATTTCCATTCCATGAAGTGCAGCAGTGATCAAATGTAAACAGTGTATGAGAAAAACATGATGCAAAAAAAAAAAAAAAACGCATTGATATGGAAGTTCACAGCAGTGCAAAAACAAAACAAAAAAAAATGTTTTTGCACTACTAGTGCAACACTTGAATAATTTTTTTTCTACAAAAAATAAATAAAATAATAATTCAAGTTTTTCAGTAGCAGAATATTTGTTTTTGGAAACTGGGAGAGGTGGGATACATACTGGTGCAGAAACTGGATCTCTGAAGGGCAGCAGCAGAAAGAACCCTTGCAGCGCCACCAGCTCCATGTTGACAAGCAGCTGCAACTTTCAGCCCTCCAGCTGCAGCCCGTACCTATGAAATAATAACGAACGTTACCAAAATAAATGAATCAGAAATATATCATTTAGAAGAACTGGAACAACGTATCCACAACACTCCGCTGTGAAAGTTTTCTAATTTCTTTTCATTAGAGATATCTCAGAGATCCGCCCTCAGCTTTTCTGCAGCCGCCATTCTGGCCCCAATTATGGGATTTGTAATTACCAGCTGGTGATGCCTCCTAAAGCAGCTTTTCATTTGCCATTGCTGATTGGGTTTTAAGAAATCTCTGTTGATAACATTAAGGAATGCATGTTTGAGACATTGCACAAGTCAACCTCTTTATAAGAAAAAAGTAAATAGCTTAAAAAAAAAATCAAGATGGCATCAGATATTTACAAAAGTGGTGTCAAAGTAAACTGTACATAAGTACTGATGAATAGGGTAGCATGCTATGCCTGATCTCAATCCTCAAATATATATAAATATAACATTAAAAACAGCCAATAGTATCAGTACTTCTCTGCAATTTTAATAACTTTAAAGACCTCTTTTTTTCTTTTTAAATCGATGTATATTTCTGTGACGTTCCGCCTACTACCGTAATTCCAGGTTTGATTGATTCAGTTATTTATTCAGTTATCAGTTTTTTTTTGTTTTATGCCACAATGGGAACTGTTAATTTTTTTAACACTAAAATATAATGTCTAACAATAGAAAACTTGACTTTTGACTGAATGACGTACTAGAATAAATGGTTAACAATGCATTATTTCAATTTCAAATACACAAAAAAAAT